CCACAACTTCTTAGTGGATTATTTGAGTAAAAGTATTATCTATTCATTTGAGCTATTGTTTGTTTGTAATATTGTCGATAAGACATAATTTATATTGCTTAATATCTACATTAAATAATGTTAAACATGTAGTTGACTGAAAAGTCAGTTTTTATTTTAGTGTTTTGGAAGTCATATTCTTCAGAGAAAGATTCAGGAAAATAAAATGGCTTCAGCCATGTCGTGCCAGTGTTATAAATAGTGGTTGCCTCAGCGCCAATAGAGTGAGGCGAGGCTAGGCGAGGCAGTGTCGCTACAGGGCAGCTGTTGCGTTGCGTTCAGAATAGCGGTCACCTCTGCATGTGTAGCGAGAGGCGACAGAGTGGCGAAAAGCGAGTGTAGCGACGCTTTATTAAAAAAAAGAAAACAAAAAGAGTAAAACTTAACATAATAGGTCGCGATTAGGGCTTGAGTTCAGAGCTTCTTCAACTTCGAACAAAACAACAAGTAAAGGGTCTGAACTTGCGATGTGCAAAAGTCTTCTTCATCTCAAAGCTTGAGGTTTCTTCCAAGTGCCATCTTCTTCTTCATCAAGCTTCTGCAATTGAAAGACCAGGTATGAGCTCTGAGTTTCCTTAATTTCTTCTTCTTTCTTCTTTCTCCTTCTCATCTCTTCTTCTTCTCTGTTTTTTGAGGAAAAGAGCAGAAACAGAGGTCTGTTTTTGTGCTCTAATTTTCGAGCAAAATACAGAGGTTCTTCACTTCCTCTTTCTTCTTGTCTTAATTTTTTTTTTGGCTCTGATTTGGCAAAATATGAAGGCTGTTTTGAGGCCCCTTTTTTTTCCAGAAACAGTCAAACAGATACAGAGAGACTGTTTTGTCACAGACCCATTTTCACAATAGGTCATGAGGGCGCCTGACACCCTTGTCAGGCAAGCCATTGCGGAAATATTACTAAAACAATCATATTGTTTTTAATTAGAATAAGTGGAATAAACTCTCAACTTGGAAGTTAAAACCAGGAGAGATAAATAATACAATAAAATAGTTACACAACCCCAAAATGATCGTCTACCAAAGTGTGTGCCAGAACCTGGTGTCACAAGCTACGGGCAACTAGTAAAATATACAACCCAAAAGAAGACCACACTACCCTATTGTCTGGATCAGAATAGACAGAAAATAACAGTACAAAGAAAGACTTCTTCGGCTGCGGATCGGCATGGAAGGAAAGCAGCTCACCGTAGAAGTCCCAAGTCTGCTCACGAATGCGCACCAGAGAAATAACCGGATCCACCTGCCTCAGACCCTGTACATTTAAGTACAGAAGCATAGCATGAGTACATAAACAATATGTACCCAGTGAGTATCCCGCCTAATCTCTAAGAAGTAGAGACGAGAGGTCAACTTGATACTCACTAGGGTCAAGATAATATAATGTAATTGTGCTATTCTAAACATGAAAGTCACCAATATTCAACAAGTTATAACAAAGAGCAATAATCATATTCTTGTCCTTACTCAGTTTCCATTTTTTACATTTTCAATTTCTAAGCAAGTAGGCATGTCATGTTCAAGTATCAGCATGTGTATACATATCATATGCAACCACACCGAGGTCGACGGCCCGCTCCAACAGAATTTAAAATGTGCACTGCCGAGGGTCGAATGGCACGAACCATAGATGCATCTATTCTCACCGAGGCGATCGGCCCGATCCATAAATATTAAGAAAACATCAAGAAATGCACACGAAGGTTCATACACATACCAGGAAGCTCTTACCAAGGCTTAACAAGTTCATACGTTCACTTCATATTTCCTTTAAGTCTGTAGCATATCATGAATAATCACAGTGGCAATTTAAATAAGAGATACTTCCAGATTAGGCATGATGTGGGTCCTAAACTACCCGTACAATTAATATCATAGTAGCTACGCACGGACTCTCGTCACCTAGTACGTACGTAGCCCGCATTTAGCAACAATTATTCAGTTATTACACCTATGGGGATAATTCCCTCTTACAAGGTTAGAAAGGAGACTCACCTCGCTCCAAAGCGCGCTCCCAATATCAAGAACAAGCCCAAGCTCTTAATTCGAAGCCGAACGATCGCAAACTAGTTAAAATAGTAAGAACTAGTCAATAAAGGCTTTAAAAAGTCGAATTCTAACTATTTAAGTAATTTTTCACCCTTTTCCACAAGTTTCCTAAATTCCGACCTCGGGCCCACGTGCCCGGATTCCGATATTTTTCGAAGGAAGTGGTTCTCTACAACCTAAGGATCAATAATGTATAAATTCCAGCCCATTTCATAACAAATTACATGATTAAATCTTAGTTTTATTAAAACCCTAGGTCTAGCTCTAACCCTTTGATTTTACCTAATTTTTAGTGTTTAATCTACCTAATATACATGTATTTAACTAAGGATGAATGGGGATTACTTACCTTACAATGCTATGCTGAAACCCTCTCTTTGCAAGCACCAAAATCTCCCAAGTGTGGAGTGTAAAATGAAAGAATGGTGTTTGAGTTCGAATTAAATGAAGGCCACTGCCCAGCGATTTCCGCTTCTGCGGTTGATGGAGCGCATCTGCGGTCCCGCATCTGCGAAGGTGGGGCCACATCTGCGGAACTGGGCAAGAGGGACTGGACCGCTTCTGCGGTCTGAGGCCCGCATATGCGGAACCGCTTCTGCGGTTACTGTGCCGCTTCTGCGGCTTGGCCCTAAAGTGACTGGACCGCATATGCGGTCTGGGTATCGCATAAGCGGAACCGCTTCTGCGGTCCCTTGGCCGCTTCTGCGATTTTCCCCTTGGCCTGCCCTTTTTGCTCCTGCGGTGGCCTGACCGCATCTGCGGTCCCGCTTCTGCGGCGCAAGAACCGCAGATGCGGTTATGACATAAGAAGCAAACCTTCAGCTACTCTTTAATTTTTCTACTTCGCTCGAACCTCGCTTGTTTGACGCTCGGGGCTCCCGAGCCCCGCCCGAACATACCGACAAGTCTGAAATCACGAGACGGACCTACTCGAACCCTCGGATCACTCAAAATAACGCTAAATCTTGGAATCATCCCCTAAAACCAAATGAATCAAACTATTGAATCTTCAAGTTCTTAATTCTCCTCTAACGGGTCAAAACACCCTTAAACTACTCGGATTGACACCAAATTTTACGGGCAAGTCTTAAAAGATATTACGGACCTGTACCAAGCTTCGGAACCAAAATCCGAGCCCGATACCTTGGGAATCAATGATTACTTAGTTTCTTTAGTTCCTTAAAGCTTCAATTAAACAATTTTAGATAAAAATTCATTACTCGGGCTAGGTACCTCGGAATTCGATTCGGGACACACGCCCAGGTCCCATATTTTCCCACGGACCCTCAGAAATTGCCGAATCACGAATCCGGGCTCGTTTTCCCAAAATGTTGACCGAAGTCAAACTTGGTCTTTTTAAGAAATCCTAAAGAAGCAAATGGGCATATTTTTACTCAAAACCCTTCCAATTCCCGAACCAATCG